AAAAACAGTTTTCCATTCTGTAGATTAAGTCTTCACTCTGTTGATTGTTCCCTTTGCTGAAACATTTTAATTTAATCCCATTTGTTGATTCTTGATGTTATTTCTTCTGCAACTGATGTCCTGTTCAGAAAGTCCTTGCCTGTACCTATGTCTTCTAGAGTTTTACCACTTTTATGTTCCAGATATTATTTTAATATCTAGGTCTTTGATCCATTTTGATTTTACTTTAGTACAGGAAGAGATAGGGTCTTGATTCATTCTTCTGCATGTGGACAACCAGGTTTCGCTGCTCCATTTGTTAATGAGGCTATCTCTTCTCCAGCAAATGTATCTGGTCCCTTTGTCAAAGATCAAATAACTAAATATGCCTGGGTTTGTTTCTGCATTCTCTATTCTGTTTCATTGATTTCTATGTCTGTTTTTGTGCCAGTGCCATGGTCTTTTTATCATATCTTTGTAGAGTAACTTGAAATTCATGATTGTGATGCCTCTTGGTTTGCTCTTATTGGTTGGAATTAGTTTTACTCTTCTAGATCTCTTCTAGCTCCATATAAATTTTAGGATTCTTTTTCCTAGTTCTGTAAAAAGTGCTGTTGGCTATTTTGACAATATTGGTTCTACCTATCCATAATCGGGGTGTCTTTTTTTTTAATCTTTTTTTTCCCCCAGAATATTCATTTTTATCACAGCATTCTCTCTCACTTCCCTGATTAGGCTAATTAAGAGTGTAACTTGTTCAAGCTATCATAAATGGGACCATTTTCTTTATTTCTTGGTGGGTTAATCATTGGTGTATAGGAAAGCTATTGATTTTTATGTGTTTTGTGTCCTGTAATTTTCTAATCTGTTTATTAGTTCTAGGAATCTTCTGGTGGAGATTTTTGGATATTCTATGTAAAGGATCATGTAATTTACAAATAAGTGTAATTCAACCCTTTCCTATTTCTTTTTCTTGCTTAATTGCTCTGAGAAAAGTTTCAAGTATTATACTGAGCAGGAGTGGTGAGAGTGGAAACTTATGTCTTGTTCATCATTTTAGAGCAAAACCTTTCATCTCTTTCTAATAATCTGCTACCTGTTTCTTAATCCAAAGAAGTTGGCATACTAGGATTAATGCTCACACTTACTGTCCATTCTGATTCAAAATTTCTAGGATAAAGAATGTTAGTGGCCCAGTGACCAAATGAGATCCAATGTACATAGGATAAACAAAAGAGAAAAACATGGCTACTGAATGAACACACATCTCTGTGGATTGAGGGTACAAAGGGGTCAGTTCCAAGATAAAGGAGCATTTAGACACTCTTCTGTATAGAGAGGTAGTGGTAAAGTAACAGAAGCTGACAATGAGTCTGAGAAATTTGGCATTTAGTACAACCAGACTGTCTCAAACAAGAAGCTTCGTACACACTTCCCCCTGGAGGGGCCACTGCAGGGCGTGACCATGAAATTAATTTGGCATCAGTGTACTGGGCAGTGTGTGGATCTCAGGTAGGACATTTATCAACTGTGTAACTGTGGGAATATTTCTTGACCTCTCTGTGTCTCATTTTTTTATATCCCTAAAGTAAAGCTGATAATAATTTCCTACCCATATAATAAGATCATTTTAACAAAATAAAATAATGCGCATAAAGTATTTAGCATATTGCTTAGCACTTGATGTTAAAAACATGTTAATTACTATTATTATTCTAGTCACTATATAGCATCACTCTATACCTGACAGATCCTGGTGTTCTCCTTTGTGGAGTTTATTTCTTTTCATGATATAGATATGTGACTTCCAAAAATTTCAAGACTTGTTTCCCACTCTAGACTTCAGTTTTTTTTAAAACTCCTACTGAGGGCTGAACACTGAAACTCAAAAGAACCCAAACTAAATTTGTGCTGTTTTCTTTGCAAATTCTTCCACTCAGCAATGTTCCAAATTTTTTTTCAGCTTTAATTGAGTTTATTGGTACAGTTTAGGGATACAGTACAGTTGCATTCATTGTTGGGATCTTGTACCTCTACATGACAAGTCTTGCTTCTCATTTTTCCCCTTACCCCTGCCCTCCAAATTAATAGTATCAACTTTTCTTTCAACTTAGGTCAGAAACCAGGAGTGATAAAAATTACAATTCCCAGAAGATCTGTGTCCCTTGATTTGAAGCCATCTCTGGCTTCCCTTTCACACCGTAAGACTTAGCATTCATCAAACTCTATTTGTCTTTTTCATATAATGATGAATATGAGACCAATAACCATTTATAGGGGCAAAGTGCCAGAGACTATTATAGGTACTTTTACAGGTATTAATTTATTCCTTTATGGTATAGATACTATTTTTATTCTCATTTACAAATATGGAAACCAAGACTTCAGAAGTGAAATAACCTGTCAGGGTCACCGCTAGCAATCAGCAGTGAGCAGGCATCCCGATCCAGGTCCTTATTCCCAGCCCCTAAGCCACACTGCGGATTGATAACCTTGTTTGTCCCCCTCTCTTTCTGTCCCACAACTTGGACAGTGCCTTGAACTACTGCCATTACTGTAGTAGATTTCTAGTTATGCTCTGTGACTTTGCTCATTCTATGACAACTTGGATACTGTTGCTAAATTGCTCTTTCTTAAACACTGATTCTACTATGTAGTTACTTTGTTCTAAAGCCTTCTGTGACTCCCTGTTGCCATGATGCATGAAAAACATTCCATTCCTGGTTTTTTAGATTTATGTAATCTGGTCCCACATCATCTATTCAGCTTTATTTTGTCATCCACCACTCCCACAAACATGCTATTCATTCCTGCCCCTGGGACTTTTTTTCATCTCTACAGGTTCAACCTTTACCCCTCTAAAAATATTGTGTCTCTATGAAACCCTCCTTTCCTTCCCTAGGACTCTCATAACTCTATCGCCGGACCCCTTTTATGAGGCCATATTCGGCCCTGTGTTAGAGTTATTTGTACACTCTTCACCTTCCTCTTTGTTGGCTTGTTGAAGACAGACTGTGTATTTCCTTAGTTTTCAGATGCCCTGTGGTAGCTTTTTCAATGCAAAGTGCAAGAGGTGATTGATACAGAGTTACAGTGAATATGACGAAATTTTAGTTCTACCACCAGGATGTTTTGTTGAAGCCCATCACACACAAAAATCTTACTTCTTAGCCCAATGTGGCAGACAATGTTTCTAAACTCTGGGAGGCTGAAGCATGGGTTCCCTATTCTGAGCCCAGCCCGAGCAGTTAAGATGTTTCAAAATAAAAAATAAATGGGCTAGGGATTTAGCTCAATAAGAAGGCCTTGTGTTCAATTCCTGGTGCTACCAAAGCAAACAAAAAAATTTTTTTTTCACTTTTTGAATGAAGTTCTCTTGACTGCCAAATTCTCAGTGAAACTTCCTTTCTCAGAATTCTTATAACACTAAATATTATTACTACATCTTTTGTCTGTTCCTCTGATTATAAGAAAATACTTTAGGCTGGGTGGGTGAAGTTAATTTCTGAACATTCTGGAGGCTGGGAAGTCCAAGAGTAGATCATGAGCAGGTGTGGCGTCTGGAAACGAGCTGCTCTCTGCTTCCAAAATGATGCTTTCTTTCAGAGTCTTCACAAGGTAGGAGGAGGCCAACAGGGAGAAAGGCAGTGTGCTAATATGGCAGAAGAAATGGCCTTCCTGCAGCCAGGCAACTGTCTGAAGCCTCTTTCCCAAGGGCATGGCTTGCAGAGGGATGAAGCCCTCACAGTTTCATCACCTCCCAGCAGGCCCCATTTCTTAATGGTACCCCATTTGGGTCACCCGCATGAATTTTGGTGGAGTACAGATATGCAAACCATAGCACCATGCCACTTACTGTTTTATTAATTATGTGGCATATTCATTGTTCATGTATTGCTACATATGTCAGGGAGTATACAGAATCTCAAGAAGTATTTGTTGAATAAATGACCACCAAATCAATCTTGCTCACCAATTGTAAGGTCTCTGAGATAGTAACTGCACCTTGTATAACACCTCGGTCTCCTCCCAGCTCTTAGCAGATGATAGGGGCTTCATGAATATTTGCCAACTGATTGGCTCAAGGATTTCCATTGCAAATCCATCCTTCGTTCACTGTTGTTTTCTTTAGTGTGATTACACTGAACAGGTCTCTGTGGTCTCTGGCTTCAGTTTCCCAGCATGGGCAGCATCAGATTACTACATTCAGAGAACTTTTTTCCAACACTTTTAAAATGTTGTCCTTAACCTAGAACCAGCCTTTCTTCCTGGGACAAATACCTAGACAAAGAGGTGGAAATGCCTGGGAGCTGGGAATTACAAATGATCTTTGACCAGGACTGCCTCAATAGCACTTGTTAGTGTTACTTGCAATATATTTGGTGATGTAAAAGAGGAGGATATTCCACAATCCTGATGCAACAATGAACGACTAAAGCACCTTCCAAAGTGGCAGGAAGTCTTCCAGTAGATCTAAAACATCAATGAAGATAATATTCATTTACTATAATAATAATCTTTATAAATCACCCAGCCAGTATGGTAGAGAGCAGCAGTGACTAGTACTTAAAAGTCTTGGAGGGAAATCTAGTCTACTGGTTAATGACAGGAAAGGGAGAGCTAAGTAGGCATCTCACGTGATAATGTGCCCCTCACAAATTCTCAGCAACACTGGATGATGAAAATGGTGGGATGGTTTTGCAAATCAGAAGGGCTTTAGGTTTTGCTCCCCTGGGTGCATGCTCCAGGGACAGTACTCAGTACAGTGGGAGATTTGTTCATGGAGTGTGTGAAACATGGTCCTGAGCCACATTCCCCAGTCTTGCTTCTAAGTGGCAAAAGAGATTGACAGCTGCAACCAAGGGAAACCTGGTATTTCAGTAGGCCAAGAAAGGAATTTGGCACTGCAGCGAACAGTAGACTAGCCAAGATGTAGATCTTTTTAAATTAATATTGTATGTTTTATTTATTTGCTATTTCATTGGCTTATGCTCTTAACGAAGTCTTTGTTTTAAATGCAGGTGATCCAAGGATGTATGACCCAGATTTCAAGGGACCTGTTGTCAACAGGTAAGAAGTTCTTTAAAATTTATATAAACACAGAAGGCTTATTTTGTGGTTACCCTTTTCCAGTCAACGAAGAATTGTGTCTGCTGTAAAGTGGATATGACTTACTTCTGCCTAAATGTCACTTAGCTTCACAGGGAGGGTACAGAGGATAAATCTTTCTGGGAATCATGAGTATCCTCCCCTTTCGGTAAATGAGCTGCCTTGAGCTCTGAGAGTTTGTATTTTAAACACAGAAGGCTTATTTTGTGGTTACCCTTTTCCAGTCAACGAAGAATTGTGTCTGCTGTAAAGTGGATATGACTTACTTCTGCCTAAATGTCACTTAGCTTCACAGGGAGGGTACAGAGGATAAATCTTTCTGGGAATCATGAGTATCCTCCCCTTTCGGTAAATGAGCTGCCTTGAGCTCTGAGAGTTTGTATTTCTCAAAAGGCACAGGTAGAAAAAGTCTTTAAGAGAATTAGTCACTTTGTGGAGCAGCGAACCCAATCAAGTCCTCGTTTGCTACGCTCGCTTACTGCATGGCTCACCACAGCAGATGCCACGTCGCTCTGCCAACTCCTTCCGTGCCAGGTATCTGTGCCACTGTGCTCCCAGACGCAGAGCGCCTTCTGAGGCACCGTCGTTCGCCAGTGAATCCTGCACACTTCAGCATACTTTCAAACGCTCCAGGGAAATAGAGACAGTTATCTCAGCCTGTGCTTCCCCTGCTCCAAAACTGTACAGCATTTCAAAGTTAGCAAATAGTTCGTAGTTCTCTTATTACTTCCTTCACCTTCCATGCTCAGGCGTCCTGCTGACACAAAGGGGGTGGGGCCCCTAAAAAACGAAGGGAAGATTAAGCTGCGGGGGGCTCCTCGTTGCTTAGCACTGACTTTGGTTTTTGGCAGTCGTGTGTCACAAGAAACTGTGATGTGAAATAATGATCCGCATGCTCCTTTGCTCTTGTCAGTCATCAGTAAGTACGCGAGCACTGACTTCTATGTCCCTCTGATAGCCCCGCTGAAATAGGTGTTTATTCAGTTCATTCCGATTCTGTGAGAACCCAAGTGTTTTTTTTTTTTTTTTTTTTTTTTTTCGGGGTGGGGATTCAAACTAGGGGCTGGGTTTGGTTACCCAAGTTTTTTTTTTTTTTTTTTTTTTTTTTTTTCCGGTGTGGGGAATCAAACTAGGGACCTTGGGCTTGTGAGGCAGGCGGCAGCACCACTGAGCTAAATTCATACATCCACTTAAAGCAGCAAAGGCACCTTATTTAGAATGAATCTGAAACCTCACTGTCCATGGTGACACCATGAACACATTTTGTTGTCTGGTGTACAAACAGCCTCATTCAAGGCGGGGGTTGCTTTCACTGTAATTGCAGTGATTTTACGTAACTAATTTGTGACAAGTTAATGTTGCCTATGGGCCTCAAGGGACCTCTAGATATAATTGAGATTCACCGGTAATAATAATTATAATAAACAAGCTGCCACCCTGGGACAGAGGAAGACAGACTCCAAGCGTGGCTGTCCTAGCTATAAAGAAGCGAAGGGTTAAGCCTGGCTGGAGTTACATAAGAGAGAAAGGAGTCTCCCTGTTTTCAGGTTATTGTCCTCTGCTGCAATACATTTTGGTCAACAACGGATCACGTATACAGCAGTGGCCACCTAAGATGATAACATAGGTGAAGGACTCCTGTCACCAGTGATGTCACAGCCATCAGTGTCCTAGTGCAATGCACTGCTCAAGTGCTTGTGGTGATGCTACTGAAAGCAAACCTATTTAAGTATATTTCGCTACAGAAATACCATTGTGTTACAGTTGCCTATGGTGTTCACTTAGATGATGCACTGTATAGGTTTGTAACCATAGCAACAGGTTATGCCGTACACATACACCACAGAGCCCGTGCAACTAACTGGTTATGTGATCTGGGTTTGTGAAGTTCACCCAGGGATGACATCTTCCCATGATACATTTCTCAGAGCAGATGCCCGTTGTTACATGACTCACGACTATGTGAGGAATTTAATGATGGAACCAGTGATCCAGGTACAGTCTAAATGACTATGAAAACCTCTGGGAAGAATGAAATTTGATGCCATGAGTCAAGTAGGATGGTCTTTTAGGGTGCCCCACACATCACAAAGCTTGAATGTGTATTGGTCATTCTGTGAAGTCATGTTCCCCACCCATCATTCCCAGAGCAGAGAAAGTATTAAAGCCCCGGGCATGGCCATATGGAGCCGCTGTAGACCTGTTAGCAACATTTGTCAGGCAGTGGACTCTGTAATGCTCTCACGAAGAAAAAACTAGAGCACTGAAAAAACAAACGAGAGGGGATGGGACCGTAGTGTACGGGCAGAGCATTTACCTAGTATGCTCGCCGTCCTAGGTTAAAAAATCAATTAAAAAAATAAAAGTAAGTGTGAATCCCTGTTTCTTTGCATTGCCTCTTGCAGCTGGGCCACAGGATAATTCAAACACGTTATACTTGTGGCATGTACCACGCTTCTGAGAATCCGAGGTCTTATTGGCTATGCAAGCAGAGCCTGCCAGCCCTCTCTGCTCCCCATCTAGTCTCCATGCTCCCTTCACCCTCTCTCTGGTCACAGAGACACCTTTCATGGCTGCTTATCACTGTCTCCTTCGTTCTCATCTACTAAAACCTAGGTGAGTGGGAGCTATTGCACCACGATGTTGACGAAAGGTGATGTTGATAGTTTAAGGGTTTTCTCAGCCCACTTTGAAAAAGCAGTTCTCTGGGCCTCATGCTTTGTCTTCTATTTTCAACATGGAAAAAAAAAAGATTATTTAGTGTTGGATTGAAGTTGTAACTGTGAAAGTGGTATTTAGCACTGTACTTTGCAGTACATTAGAGGATGGAAATTAATGTGCAGAGAAAAACTAAGAAATAAAAGCTTTTATAAAATGATACATGAGAAATTCCTCTTGCAGTTTAGAACTAAGAAAAAATTTCATTTAAAGGAAAATTGGTATACTTTTCTTATTTTAGATAAGAATTGTGTAATCCACTATTTTTCTTTTCTGTTCTTTTCTTTTTCTTGTATTGACTTGTAGAAGTCCCACGGCTACATTTAATTTCAGTGCCAGCAACTGTATTAGTGTTTGAGTCAAAAATCTCTTTTCAAGACTTTGGATTTCTATTTCTGTTTTAATAATTCTATTGCATCCAGGTGTGCTGAGTCATTTTATTTGATATCCTTTTTTTTTTGGAAAAAAAGGCGACATGTGAGTAGGTAGGTAAATAGAGAAGAAAGCTTTTCCTATTACACGGGTGCCTTTTTTTCTTTATGCACACCATAGATGAAGAACACATTGGTTGTGTGAGATTGGTAGGTTTCATAATAATGAAAATAACTATTATTGCACAAGGTGGTAAAACTATCTGAAATTTACTCTGATGTATTTATTTTTATCTGAAGCCTTGGACAGTGGTAAGTTCACTGGCTTGGAAAGGTTCAAGGTAAAGTGAAAATTAGGGCTATTGTGGAGGGGATTCATTCACAGACAGGAAAGCGATGAAAGGACCTCAATCCTTTCCGGGCCTGAGATCTGCGACACTGTGATTTAGCCCTTAAGACCAATGGGCAAGCGAGTTCAGCTTCAGGCTAAGAGGTAAACACTATGCCATCTCTCCGTATGCTCTTTGGAATTCTAAATGATGTTCCCAAGTAGACATCTCAAATTATTGTGATTACACGGTGTTGTCTCCTAGATTTACGCAATTCTCATAGTTGCTTCTTGTTGGAGTAATCTGTATGCTTCTTGTCCCTGTAAAGGGAACTTGGAAAAGTACAGTTCATGTCTGTAGGGAAAGGTGAGGATAAAGAATATAAAAACAAAAGCATATGAAGTTCAAGAAAAAAAAATGTAGGTCTCATGTAAAAATGTCTGAAGAGATTACAAACCATTTTGACTTGAAAAATAGTTTGAAATAAAAAGCCTGTATCTGTAGCACTCCCTTTGAAAATTTTAGCATCCAATTGTGGAAGGAAAGGAAAGGAAATAAAAATACATAATTGCCTTAAATGGCTAACTCTTCAGAAAGTAAATGTGAGTTGAAGTGCTGTAAATGTGGCTTTTATACTCATTCAGAATGGGGCAAATGGTATAATATGATCAATTATTTATCAGTGTGACTCTTTGTCACAGGAAGATATGACTAACACACTTCTTTAATACTCCAAGCCTGTCCCTTTTGTTTCTCATATGGGAAATCATTCTTTTTTTTTCTATTTTCACATTTTAAAATGTCACTACCTACTAATTATTCCTGATACTTCACAAGCAACTTTATATTAGGAGATTTAAAGAAGAATATCCTTAGCTATGTATTTTTTGTGTGCCAGGAACTGTGTTAGACACTCAGAATAAAAAGATAAACTAAGCTAAGTTCCTGCCTAACATGCCTTCAGCTTAGTAGGAGAGGCAGATGATAAAGGAGTGAATGTGGTCAGGCAGTTAATAGAGCTATTGCCAGGGTCTCTGGGGTCAGGAGAGTGTGTGCAGTGCTAGAAGAAGGGAGAGGGAAATCCAGGGAGCTTCCTGGCAGAGGTGAGCCCTGAGCTTGTGCCTGAGGACCTTCCGAGGAGAGCCACCAGCAGGCATCAGAGTAGAGAAGCCATGCTTGTGCCAGAAATGGTTTGGTGTGAGCAGGACACCCAGTGGTGAGGAGCGTGAGTATTGGGAACGAGAGGACAACATTTTATGGGGAGATAAGATTGGAAAAAATCACCAAAGCTGTACAACACAGTATGCTTAGTGCTGTATTCTGTGGAGACTGCCTAAGGAGACACTGAAGAATTTTCAGTAGGAAGCTGTTGTTTCGGAATGAGGGCCTCAGGCCCTCACAGGTTTGTGGAAGGTGATTAGGTCATGAGGACAACAGAGCTGGTGGGAGAGGAGGGTGGCTGGAAAAGGTGGGCCACCAGGGCTGTGACCTGGAAAGGGCTGTCTTTCTCCGTGGCTTTTCTCTTTGTCTCTGCCTCCTGGAC